TCCTGGACAGGCGTCTTTGTCAAGGCAGACAAATGTCATTCTAGCGGCGACACCGTCCGATCTACCCCCGTTAGAACACGCGAGCTGCCGTTGAGACCGAGATCGAAACAAACCTTGAACCAGCTCCAAACGCACGGAGTAGCAAGCTTCTTTAGGTGGACACCAGCCACCTTTCAGCCAGCGTCGACCCATGGATTGCCTGGTATCGTTTACTCACCTTGCTTGCCACAAGTGTCATGACGACGGATTGGGCGATCGGCTACGTTGACTGAGGCGATGCTAGTTCTGGCAAGGCGTCAAGCAGAGAGATAGTCAGTGCCTCTCCATCGCCTCGGACAGTCTATTTGCAGCACAGACCCGCGCCATCACGAGCTCCGCTGTGGGAGCGGCACGCAAGGCTCACGGGGGCAGGGATTGGGCTGTCAATCAGCTGGGTCACTAGAAGAAGTGATTCATGCCGAGTTGGCCAACCACCGCCGCCAGAGCTTCGTCTGTGAATCTCTCAGATTCAACAGCCTTGCTGGATCGACGACTAGCGTACGGAGTGGCAGGGCACAGGCATCGAGCGGTGTTCACCTCGTCTTGCCATTTGAAATGTCGGGACCTCACGAAGCAGGAGTGTCCCGGCGGGAAAAGTCGGTGTCTGCTGTCTGAACCCAAGAACCCGAACACGTTGGTTTCGCAGCAAGGAAGAAGCCAATTCCAGATTCCTGGGGGAAAGGACACCCTTGACAGCGCCTAACCACCGCTGCGCCCCGCTATCTTCAACGACCACACTCCACGTAATGTCGATGGCGGAGACAGTCAACAGACAGACACAGTCCGCGGTGACATGTTCTCATGGCCCCAGAACAGGTTGTTTCTTTTTGCTTGTCCTCTTCCTCTCAGCTGGTTCGGGTCTTGGAGGGGCCTCAGTTTGCTTCTTCCCAGGTTCTTGTCACGTCTGGGTCAGAGAATGCCACCAGGAGTACCTCTTAGCCGCCAGCCATGTCTTAGTCACCTCTAGCTCGTCAATGAAGGTGGTGCCCGAGGAACTAGCTGCTCATTAGCTCCCAAAGCACCCAAACTTGCTTCGGAAGCTACCTCACCGCGTTGCTCCCAACATCGCATCCAGCCCCGACATGATCTCAAGGACATGTGCACGAAAACTTTACGGATAATGGCCGAGAGTCTGCCAACCAGTCGTTGATGCTCGACATGATGCTGTCTGGCCCATCCAAATCACGCAGCATCATGCGGCAGATCTCCCGCAGTCTACAGGATCTAATCTCGATCACCGACACTCGGGGGTCCACTGCCATCTGGCTCACTTCTCCGCCCCCCCTCCGAACAGGTATTCACCTGGCTGATGCCCAACGACTGGCCATATCAACAGTTACAATCAGGGCGGTGGGAGTTCACATGCATGGCTTCCTTATTTTACGTACTTCAGTGCGGCGTTTGCAAGCTTGCGTGTGTCACGTCGCTAGGAGACAGCTACTCGAGCTGACCAACTGAAACGGACGATCGACGGGCTTGCAGCGGCCGCCAAACGGCCGCTGACTAGCACGAGCACTTCACCACCAAACGCACCCTCCTCTCCATACAACTGGAATTCCAGATGCCCATCTGTTGACCGCACATGTGGAACCGAACTTGATCAGGCGTCAGCGACGCGTCCCTGGACTGGCCCAGAACGAGGTACGGTTGCAAGCAACCTTCCGTCTGAAATATGTGCATGATGATGGATCTGCCGGGCTCTAAGCAGGAAAGTCGGATGGCGCATCGCTTGCGCCTCGCGAGCCAACTGAGATGCGAGAAGGTCAGCATGGTGTCACAAGCCCGTATGCACCCCTTTCCCTGAACGCTCCTCGTTCCACCGACCCTGCAGCTTGCCATTCAAACACACCGAGACTGTGCGACTGTCCGCTGCTTCTTTCGACGGGGTCCGCAGCAGTCGATGCGGTGATGGCCCGTCAGCATGTCTTCCTATGGGAACGGCACAGCGAATGACCCAAGAATCTGATTCGACCAGAGACAGCGGGTTCAGAGAAAGACAGCCTTCTCGGGTGACACAAAAGTTGTAGTTCGGAGGTTATCAAGTGCGACTTGTCAGATCTCAAACCTGGTCTCTGCTTACGAGACTCCCTTATCATGGCCGTATCGAGTAATCATCAACTTCCGAGGCCGCCGAGAACCCCCGGCGGGGTGCAGCAACCAACTTCAACGCGAAGTCGGTTTTCTCTATCCAATTTGATGGTGGCGCATTCCTGCCCTGAATCAGCTCAGTCATCCGTCCACTTGACCTGGCAGGTGATCCATCGCCGCGACGCCTTGACGACATTGCCTACCCCTGATTTGTGGGTTACACCATCTAATCGCCAATGTCTCTCTTTTCCTCTTCGTATTGGTGTCCTCATGTGAAGCTATCAAACTCTGTGCCAAATGTTGCCTCAAAAATCCAGGCTGCGACCGCGTCCGTCATGCACCTCGTTTCCGTCTGTGAGACTCGACACCATCAGGCCCGTCATCCAAAGCCCGGCAACGAGGCAGCCCTAAGGCAATGAGGTACTGCAGCCCTGAGACGCCGCGCACGACAGATACCACGTCTTGTACTCCGTCGTCCCCGGCCGGCTGTGCGAGGTCATTGCGACATACACCTTTGTGGGTGGCGTTGGAAGGTTTGCTTTGCAGAGAAGGCTAGTTGGCCGACTTCATCTCCCGGGCGGGCATCATACATCGGACGCCGATTCCGTGATACTCCGGACCGCCGTCATGAGGCATCGACGGACGAACTTTTGCCTTGTTCCTTTTTCCCCTTTGCTCTTCTTCCTTTCCAGGCTACATACACTGTGGCGTACGACCCCAGACCCTGCCGGGCGGCGCAAACGCATGCCCCCTGCGTCCTTGTTTCTCTGACGCAACTAATCATTTCTTATTCCAGTTTCTTCTCGTCCAGCTTTGACGGTCTCAGCATCATGCGCGGTAAACCAAATTGAACTGCTTCTTTTTTTTTTTCGACGTCTTCCGCCCCGCGGGCCTACTTGCCTTTGCGAAAGCACGGCCGGGGTAGGCATTCATGGAGATCCTGGGGGAGGAGATGACGGGGATGTGGCGTCGGCGTGCAGAAGCTTCATGTCGCCAGCCGTCTTGTCGCGACCTCGCGAGGAGCTGACCTGTGTGTGCCTGCCTCACCGGTTTTCCAGGTCGGGGGAGGCTTGCATCTGAAGGTGCCTGTGAGGCGCTGGGAGCTGGTATGCAGTGTCTCGGATTTATGGCTGGGACTTCTTTTGCTGGAAGAATGCAGCGAGACCAGACCAGACCGGCCGGCCTGGACCCCACACTCAAGAGGATGAATAGCGTCGTTTCTTGTGAGGTTTGGTCCTGCGGGGTCAATGGTATCATGAGGCGGGGGGGCGATGCCGAAGCAGCAGCAGAACAAGTTCACCTCAGCCTTTCTGGCGTGATATCTTTGACACTTGCGACGGGGCTGAGGTCTTTAGTTTCGAGATGTGTTCTAGACTTGATCTGGGAGGTGTTCGTCGACGTCCTTGGGAATCCCTGGTTCCATGGCCGCGGGAAATCAAATGTCTTCCATCGTCACTGGGCCTTGGCAGTTCGTCCGTCCGCGCAGCCCGGGAAGGTGGACGGAAGGGATGGAGAGGATTTCCCAGCCCAGCCTCTGCGGGAAGGAACAGACGGCGTTTAGGCTTTTGGTGGGCTGGATGGGGATGGATGGGGGGGGGAGACTGAGAAAGAGAGGCTTAGGCTGCGGTCTGAGCTTCTTTTCCCTTACAGAAACGGGCTATTTTGCGGCGTCCAGTCTGCCGGGTTGATCCTCTTGTCGAAACGAACGAACGGTGGCGTGAGCTGAACCGAGCTTCTTTCCCTCTGGGCTGGGCGCCGTTTTGCTTTTCCTTCTTTTTACAAATTGTTTGCCGTCCGGGGTGATGGCTGCTTGCTTTTGCAGTCCGTCCAGGCTTTCTTGCTTTTGGGTCTTGTTTCTGGGACTGCAGCAGCTTCTTCCCATGTCTTCAGGGCCGCAGCATCTCGTCAGGGTAGGGAAGTTTAAGTCCGTGAGGTCAGTCATGATGTGCTTCGGCTGTAGCCGCATGCTGCATGCCTCCGCACCACCATCTTGTTTTCCTTTTTGCCTTCCGACACCAGTTGTGTTGGGGGGAAGTTCGGGTTCAGCTGATGTTATCGGCCGGCGTATGCTAGTCATCGCGACGGACAGACGTCATTGCTTTTTTGGAATTGAGGAAAGGAACGGGAGGCAAGGTGATGCCTGGGAAAGCGCCGGCTTCGGGGAGTAGTCGGGGAGCAGTCGGGGTTTTTGGGTGGAAGGGGGGGTTGTAGGATGCCAGCAGCGATGGAGGGGACCGGCGGCAGGCTAGGCAAGTGCGCTCGGTTTTGGGCTGTTTGGCGGCGGCCGACGGGATGGAGGGCACGGTTGTGAGAGACGGCTTGGGGGGATTTTGGCGTTGGACACGTGTGGGATGTCTGTGCGATGATGGACGATCTGGATTGTGGCCATTGGAGGTCGTTTTGGAGAGGTGGCATGTGAAGAAGAAGAAGTGTTTGCTGGGGCTTTGGGGATGTTGACTCGAGGGTTGAATAGATGGAAAGTTCTGTGTGATGATATCCAAAGGGCATTGTCACAGCCGCTGCCAGCGAGCCATGAAGTTCTACTAAGAGGCCTTGAAATAACCACTGAATTCCATTCCTGAATCAAAAGACATCTAACCTATGTCGTTTCTCTCTGTATGGTATTTCTTATCATTGACGGAGTTGCAATCCAACGGCGATATTGAAACACGACTTCGAATTAGATTTAAAAATTGGATTATAATGAATATCACAAGTACCAACAATCTTGATAATGCTTATGAACATTGGTAGCTTGTGAAAGCTAGGAACATAAGTACTGGTTCCTTGAGCCGGTTGCCAGATACTTTGAAGTCCGGAACGTTATTGACTTCCAAATTGAGTACGCAGTAACTTGAGAAAAGATTGGTTCGTTAGAAGAACAGTACCGTCTTACCCTCCTTCTTCATAAAGTCTGCAAAACATAGAGGGCTTGCCATGTCAGGGTTCTTTGACTCCCAGATCATCTCCAATAGTCTCCGAGTGTCTCGAACACTTTGCGTTGCATACGTCAACGATAGCTCCTCGAGCCGACTGCTGATGGCATTTTGATGCCCAACAGATCTGGCACATGATCCAAAGATGGCCAGTGGCCAGCACATACTGGTCGAGATGGGAGAATCGACTGGGACGGTCTCCAGGGCAGACTCCAAGTAAACAAGTAAGGTCTGTTGATACAGCAGTCCACATAATCTGTATACCTCGTCATCCGAGCGAGGCTGCCACGACGATATGATTGATCGGAGCCTCCAGCACTCGATCGTGGCCTCGACCAATCCTGTCCCTCGCCGAAGTTCGTCTCGTGTTCTTCGAGCCACCACCGACACCATAGGAACGAGGCCAAAAAGCTCGTGCACACAGCCAGACTTAAAATGACTTTCTGGCTCGGCTTTTGACGTGGGGAAAAGCTGCGCAATGTCTTCCTGCACCCACAGGTCTGATTCCTGTCCCATACTGATGTGGGCAAGAGTCATGATGTAGGCGTATCTTTCTCTGAGGAAGGCTCGAGTATCAGGCCCGAGCTGAGAGTTGGATAGGCTTGATGCCTCGTGGAGGAGCACGCGAACGGCTTTCAGATGAGACAAGGCTTGAGCTCCTGTGTTGAGTCTGAATGTCTGAAAGAGGGTCAGTTTACGTTTTGTATAAAGCTAATCTCTGGTTTGGTATGGATGAAGGAAATCATAGAGGACGATGGTCACAGAGACTGACGGTCAAATGAGGTTGAAGAATGCTCGAACGTACCTCGATGGCACATAGAATGATGGCGGTCACCAAAAGCGGCACAAGAGGCTCTTTGTCCCCCTGAGCCATCAAAGTCAGCCCGTATTTCTGGCCCTGGATCGCCTGGCCGTAATGTACCCATGTCAATTGGTCAACTGGAAGTCCAGCGAGATCTGCTTGGTGAACACCACTCAGTGCCAGCATGGCATGCAGAATTAGATCGTTTGATATGGCCATGGGAACGAGCTCTGCCAGAAATGGGTTCCTGTTGCCTTGGCAAACGGCCATGACTTTGTTCGTGCGGTGGACATAGTGATGGAAAAGATTGCGAGACTCCTGGGATCTCATAGGTCCCCTTGCTGAGAGGAGGTCAAGATCAATGGATCTTCGGAGGGTGCCAAGTGTTCCGTCAAGAAATCTTTCATGGTTCCCTTCATCCCGCTTGGGGCCGGCGGATGCGAGGAGGTTTGGCCCTTCGATCCGCGAACCTGCTATCGCACGGTTTGATCTGGATGGCCTCGAGCGCCGACGTGTGGGATTCGTTCTCCGCAAGAGCTGGGCGTGCTCCTCGTTGCCAGCTTCAGGCCATGTGCACAAGATGGCATTGCGCAAGCAGTTGGAGCAGTGAGGCTTCTCTTCGCTGCACTTCTTACGACGTAACCTACAGCCGATACAGCCGGTTGCTGATCGCCTGCCCTTTGAACTTGGCGTCGATTGTTGTAGCATTGCAGATTTGGTCGGTTGATTGTAGTCACCACCGTCAAAGCGTGTTATCGTTGAGTTTCTGGGGAACATGTGGGGTGCATATCACAGAGGTTATCGCCAGCTTCCCGGTAATCTTCGGGCGATAACGAATGAGCGTCTTCGGGGTTGGCGTTGACCGGACCCACAGAGATAAGAGGATTCTTGGAGATTGGTAACAAGCCAAACCCCGGTATCTCCAGCTTTCTTACAAAATGGATGGTAAGGTTTGATACACAGGTGGTTCAATTTGCTACTACTCTGGACTTGGTTTCTCATGACAAACGAAACCCTTGATCTGGATACAATACTCTGATCAGAAAACGCATCTGGCATTTTGTTACACAGAGACCAAGTGACATGATCACCCCTCCCTTTTCAATTTCGTAACTCAGTGTGCCGTGTCCGAGTTCCACCCATATTCATGGACCGCAGGATTACCAAACCCCTTGCACTTGAAAGCCTACTAGAACGGGAACTTGCTCGGTAGTTGTCCGTCTTCACACATTCCGCTTTTAACTTGCTTCTTATGGAGATCATCTAGGTATGGTAGAAGGACATCGGCATAAAGGTGGCGACCCTTGTGGCTGCATGATGAGCATCACAGGTCAGCTGTCCGTTAGCAAGTGATATGGAAAATGGTGTACTTACAGGGCCAGTTCATCATCCCAGCTACGGACGAAAGACGCCAAACGCCCCGGAACACCTGGCTCCTGGACGACTTTGACAAGAGGCTCAATGTACGTGTGAACCATCCACACAACTGCACCAGACCGTGGGAGCCGCCGCAAAGTTTGACGCTCCTGGCGGAACCACAGCTGAGAAATGTCCTTGATTGGACTCGGCGGTTTCCACTTGCCGTAGCTGGACGTGCTGATTCCGGGACCGCGGAGTTCTGGATCCCAGTCGTCCTCCGGTCCCATAGTTAGAGCAGGCCAGTGATATTCGTCTGTTGAGAGTTAGAGACGGCAAGTAAGCACACTGTCGAAGCCGCAGAAGTAGATGCAGAGTTGGGAGCAGACTCACCATGTATCGAGATAGAAGTGGCTGGTGCAAGTCAGTACCTGTGTAACACAAATCAGAAGGGGTGATCTTACTGTTCCGTTGGATTGGACTCTCAAACTTGAGCTTGGAGAGGAAGCTAAAACGAATCTGTGAGATTTTGCGATGCGTAAGCTGCCGTGAAAGGACTTACTGATCAAGTGGCCGCTGGAGCTGCTCCTTGTAATGCGGAACATGGCCCGAGAAGTGAAGATCTGCTCGCGTTTTGCCAACTTGCATGATGTCAGCAAAGTCTGACTGACTGATTGAGGGTCATGACTTCAAAGAATCTTACTCTTGTCCTTGATTCTCTGCCCCCCTTTTCGAAAGATTTATTAGCCACAGCCTTGATATGGCATCAAGGTGGTAACAAACCTCCGATCCCAAGCATCATAGCAGCAAGCTGATAATAGCCATCGGTACCCTTGACCAAGATGTTGATGTCAGCTGGTTGGATGAGGCCAGCAACCTGTTGTTGTTATTCAACTCGCAAGCGCTATGGCATAGGAAAAGGGGCAATGTACTGTCAAAGGGTCATGTTTGCTCAAGTCGTAAGCGGCCCCCATAGCTGGCATCTCAATTTCGGTAATCAAACCCAGTCCATACCAGCCTTGCGTATTATCTTTAGCGCGCGTAATTCTGTACACTGAGGGATACCGTCGAGAAAGAAACTCAGCCAGATCTTGACAAAGCTCCCATGCTGCATCGCGTGCGATAGGCATGTTTGAACGATTTTGTCTCCACGACCCGCCAGACGACGGACCTTTGTTTCGAAGTACCGTGGCCATTCATTGTCCAGCTAAGAAAGAGAGGTTAATGAGCATCGTGTTCAAGCAATCCACCGGAGGCACTTACAAGAACCCAAGAATCTTTGTCCAATTTTCGAACATCCACTGTACTGGAGTAGGTGATCAATGAGCCTTATATTATATCACATATAGGCATAACTTTATACAACGTACTGTCTCAAGTAGGAGTAACGGAACGCCCGGAGCTTCGGTGGCATGGTCGTTGCCATGTCAAATGCGTGGTCGGGGGAAGGTTCTGGATACACCAGAGGCTCTTTGAGACGGTCAGCACTGGACTTGAACTGATTGCCAAACAAATAGAAGGGCAAAGTGAAAGAGTCACTACTTTGATCTGTAGGCACAGCAGCCGGCGTCTGTCCGAAGCGTCGCCTCTGCCATCGTAGCAACGCCACGAGGACACATGCGAAGAATGACAGAGACCAGATAAAAACCATGTCGAAGGTAATCGTGGCTTCAGAGGTAGAACTCAGACTTGAAGCGTACTAAAGAGAATAATAATTATGGTCATCGCCACTCAATACTTATTTGTATCTTCCGAGCTCTCAGTCGCCCAGGGCAATTAATACATGCAAGTGAACTGGCGTGGACCGGCGGATGCTCACTGATATCCGCGCCTAACAGTGAAGGGGCAGAGTTCCAGCTGGGTGGGAATACTGCATCGATCAAATCCCTCTTGTTCGTTTGTCTGTGGGTGACCCGATTTGGTAGGTATGCCGTCTTTGTGACGGGGGATCCTAGCGGACATATCGCGGGGTTGCAAGCACGCACCCCGCAAGTCCCGCATTTCAGCAGACAAAGATAAGCGCGCCTTATTTATTGTTCAGATCTCTTGCGAGTTACAGGCGCGCAGGTCATTAGGAATAAAGGTATATTGTAGGAGTAACTATTCGGAAAGGTAGTCCACATTATAAGCTAATATCCACACGCGTAGTTTATATAATACTATATATTATATAATAGGTAGTAAAGTTATAGCTTAGATTAAAAGTATTATAATATACCCCCTTAGATATTATAAATAGCTAAAAAATTTATTCTTTACTACTATATATCTAAAACCTATCTAAATTTATTATATAAAATATATAAAAATAGCTTTTAAAGTAATAAAGTAAATAAATAAATAAAATTAGTATTTATAGTTATATTTATAGAATATAAGAGTACTTAATAAGGTTACTTAGTTATTAAAGTAAATTATAAATATATTTAGAATTAATAAAATTTCTTAATATAGTTAGTATAAGCTATTAAGTATAAATAATAGAGGTAAATAAAACCTCTTATACTTTCTTATTAGCAGTCTAGTTAACCTATATAAGTAGGTATTATAGTTTACTCTATACTTTTTTTTCATAATACTAAAACCTAATAGTAGTACTTTAACTTATACTTAATCTTAATAAAGTAAATAAATAAATCTTAGTATAACTAATTATTAACGCTTAGCTTAACTTATCCTTAGCTATATAGAAGAGGGCAGGTAGGCAGTTAGGTAAATAGGTAGGCAGTAGAGCAGCAAAACATATTAATAAGAGCGTTATTTATAACGTTATTATTTATAAGCGTGTTGTTTATAATATAGCTAGAGCCTAGTAATAGCTTAAACCTATACTTAAAAGTATAAACTTAATAGTATAACTCTTTATATAGCTAAAAGGGTTCTTATAGCTATAGTATAAGAACTTAACTATTTAAATAAAGCCTTAAGCTTATTCTTTATATCCTCTTATATATATAATAACTTTATATAATATCTTTCCCCCTTATTATAACTATATATAGGCTAAGTAAAGCTATACTAAATAACTTAGTTTATAAAACTAATATTAATAAAATTAAAAGCTCTAAATATAATAACTTTCTCTTTATTAAAAAGAAAACTCTCCTTAAATTTACTTAGAAGTACTTACTTAAGATAGCTAATAAGAGCGATATAATAGAGTTATATAGCTTTAAGATTAATATAGAGATAGTTAAAACTATTAATAATAATCTTAATACTTATAATTACTTTATAGGTTTCTTTAAGATAGCTAAAGTAGCCTAAGTAGTTAGTAAGTTAAGAAGGGTAAATATATTAAGAGTATAGCTAATAGTAGTAGGGCTATTAAGACTATATAGTAGGGTAGAAGATATTATCTAAATAGCGTAATAGTATAGAGGTTTTAAGGCTTCTATACTTAGTAGAGCTTATAGTATAGATATCTAAATAGTAGAGGAGATAATAGAAAATAGGTATAAATTAAATATAGCGTGAGAGATAGAGGAGACTAATAGAGATAGGGGTAGCTAGAGGAAGATAGTTAACTTAGCTTATTATAATAGTTAAAGTTAGAGGAGCATAGAGGTAAAGAAGATATCTAAGTCTGAAAGTTATATAACTTAAAGGTTATTAGTAGAAGGTGAGGGGACTAGTCTAGCTTTTGCAGTTAATACTAGTTAAATTTCATAATATAAGGCTAGCAGCCCCTCTTATACTTTCTTATAATTAAATTTTTCTTTTTTAGATTATTTATAATTTATAAAGATAAATTTTTAAAAATCTTAAATTACCTACTATAATACTTATATACTATTATAATAATTATTAGATTATTTAATATAATTAATAAAACTTTTACTAATTATTTTATAGATTAAAATTTATAATATTTATTAATAAAAAAAAAGCTACTACTTATATATATAAAGTATATAAATATAAAAAAGCTACTATTAATATTACTATTATTATTAGCTCCCCTCTTATTTCTAATAATAATAATAATAATAAAAAGCTTATTATACTTTTTAATCCCCTTATACCTCCTCCCCTCTATCCCCTCTATTCTATTATTAAAGAGGTTAAAGATAAAGATAAATATAATACTTTATATATATACTATTTAAAGTAGTTTTAAGTATTAGAAGTATTATACTAATTATTTAGAATAGTTCTTTAAAGATTCCTCTATTATAAAGTTTTTTATAAAGAGTATTTTAAGTTTACTTTTATAAATAAAACTTAAGGTTACTACTATAACTTTATACTTATAGTTATTAATACTTTTAATATAAAGTACTATAAGAAGAATTAGTATATCTTATATATTTCTACTTTTTATAGCTACTTTTATATCCCTTTAATACTTATTATAATATTTTTTATTTACTACTTCTAAGAGGTTATAAAATTTAACTCTATAAATTAAGCTATAAATATAATACTCTTTTAGAAGTATTTCTTAATTTTAAAAGTGTTTTTTATATTTTAGAAGTATTTTTTAATTTTTTTCTAATTTTAAATATAAGATCTTAATTACTAAAGAGTTAATATTTAATATACTTTTATTTTTATTTAAAGTAGTATTACTAAAACCCCTACTTTTATTATACTTACTTTTATACTTTTAGCTACTCTTATTTTTATACTTACTCCTCTTTTAGCTTTTATTATATTTATTATACTTATTACCTTTTTTATTATATTTATTACTTTTAATATTATTTCTACTATTTTCTCTCTACTTAATAGTAAATAGGGAGTTTTTTTTTAGCTTTATTATAGCTAATAAACTCTTTATAGCTATTTTAGCTTAATATTAGTAGAGCTAGTTAGATATATTTATTATTACTTCTTATACTTATTAAAGCTAAGCTTTATTATTAAGTTTAAGGGGTTTCTATATATATTTAGGACTTTAGCTTAAAATAATATTTATTTTTAAGTATTTTAGATTTATTTTTAAGCTTTTATAAGCTAAATTAGGTTTTTTAGCTATAAAGCTAAATATAGACTTTTTAGTTACTATATTACTTTATTTCTTATTATTCTTATTTTATATTTTTTATAATAAGTATATATATATTTATTAAGTTTAGTAGTATATAAAAGTATTTAAACTTACTTCTAAAAAAGTTCTTTAGAAATCTATTAATAAGTATTAAGTTTATAAATATATAAGCTATATTAAAATTACTTTTTTAAAACTTTTATTATAACTATATATTTTAGATATTTATATAGTAGAGATATATTATAATATATTCTTTATTACTAACTATAAGTTAGATTATCTATTAATTATTATAGTTAATTTTCTAAATATCTTTTCTTATATTTAATACTATATTATAGAAGAGTTTTTTAAATATTATTACTTTTTTTATAGTATTCTTAAAGCTTAAAAGCTTTATTTCTATTATAAATATTATAATAATATGGCCTCTAGCTGTTCACTATGATTTTTACCTGCTTAGAGCGATAGACCTCCTAACTCTATGCCTCCTGATAATACACACAGCCTTCAGTCATATAATTATAACTTAACAACCTCCTAAGTCTCTAACTATCTCTCTTAACCTTAGCTGCACTTATATATACATATAACTTCACTATCTTTAACTTCACTTTAGTAACAATATAGTTTATGATTACTTAATTACTTAATTACTAACTACTAAACTATCAACCTATCCTCTCTCTCGCGCATCACCTACGCTGCCGTTAAACACTATCCCTATCACTGCTTCGCCGTCCACTATAGTGGCTTCTTTTAGAAGCAAGTTATCACTATCTCTTCTTATTTAATTAGGCTGGCTGACGCCTTTACAGCAGCTATGCTGTTATTAGCAACGCTCTCTCTATCAGTTAGCATAAGGCGTACTTACTGATATTTAAGCCCTATTAGGTCTAGGCTTAAGCTGCCTCTGCCTTAATATTATAGAGGGCTTATGCAAAGAAGGGCTACTCCTCAGGATAACCAGAAATATATATAGCCTCTACGTAGAAACATCTAAGGCTATTATTTATTACTTTAATTATAGTATAAAGAGGGTCCCCTCTAAAGGTATTTATAAGAGCTCTAGCTATAGCTACTTTAATAATATACTACTAATCAGTAAAAGAGTGCTTACTATATTTAAGGGCTTTATTTATTATATAGATATTATTCTATATAGTAATACCCTTAGCTATTCCCTTATAGAAAGGTATACTTTACAGAGGATTAGCATTCTTATATATCTCTTATAGTGCAAACATAGTAAAGGATTTATTATAAGTTATAATAATAGGTTATTAATATAGGTTTAAGGATAAGGAAGAGGAAGAGGAAGAAGGATAAGCACAAAGCCTTACGCTAGCAGAGTTTTTATGCTTCTAGCTATAAGAACCTCTTCTAACAACCTCTTTAGTTAAGGAGTTATCTCTTATATAGTAGCATTATAACCTCTTTAGTTAAGGAGTTATCTCTCTTATAGCAGCGTTACTATAAGAGCCTCAGTAACCCCTTCAGCCCTAATATGATCAGCCCTACTATATGCGGCGCTGCTGGCCCCACGCCGCGCAGCTGGCGCTATTACTGTTCTGCTGGTCTATTTAGCTAGGGCGTGCGTTCAACTTTATGCAGTAACATTCAGAGGGTTTACCTGCTAGCAGGAACGTATAGGG